TCCCGGCTGAGTCCTCCTAATGTCAGTTGATTATTGTCTCCCCTGAGCCTTTATCGGCTGTGAGTTCCGTATCTTTCCTAATGGTGTTGTCAGCTGAACCACAGGCTACTGTATTTTTACAACGAGGTGTGGTCTTCCTTCTCCTGGGCTCCATATTTTATATTTCTTCTCCATCATCTTCTTCTTCCTCTCCACTGTCTTCCTCAGAACAAATAATTCCACTTTCCACCTCTTTGAATTCTCATTCACTCCCCAAATGAGTAAAAACATCCTCATCATTTCCTTCAAAATCTGACACTATCCGTTCTTCCTCTAACTCAACTACTGACAAATTATATCACCTCTTCACCATATTTGCATCTGTATCAGGAGAAAAAAGTCATTGCTTGACATAAAGGGATTTACAGACTTATCAGATAGTCTTTATTTTCATTCATACATACCTTGTTCTTCACCAAACACAAATAAACTGCTTACGAACTACACTCTGAAAAACACTTACAAAAAAGAATACCAGCTTCTCCTGGGAAAAAAACCCTTCAACGTGTCACTGCTTCTAAGCAAAGTGTCGAGAACTGCTGATCCAAGAGTGCTGACACGTGAAGTGTCACGGACAGGTGGGTAAGGGTCTAATAACAAAAGTCGTAAATAGTGAAACTGGAGCTCCTCATAAACAAATACACAACAACAAAACCACAATGGGGTCAATCCCTGACCCCTGCCATTGGTAAGCACCTGCACACCACAAAATCTTATAAGGAGTTCCAAGTAAAATATATTTTTATAACACAGACCTCAAAGTTGCCTTGCTGATAAATGTCTGGAGTATGAGGAAGACAGGAAATCTTTTATGCAAAAATAAAGCATACAATTTGGATAAAGATTATCCTAACCAAGCAAATTCCATCAGGTAGCACTTCATTTACTTATAATTACTTTTAATTGGAATGTCTGTTTGCCAGTAACAATTATTTCTAAGGGACGATAATTAAGAATTACATGATTACAAATTATTTTCCAAGATCACCTAAGATGGAAATATCTCTGGGCATCAGAATCTCTTTTTATAAAATGTGGGGACTGAACCAAAAGGTCATATAGTAACATATAATACTATAATACTTTATGATAGTAAAATTTCTAATTAAATTTATATTTAAATTATAGGGTTTTACATTTTGGCAGTTCAGCAAAAACTAAACATAAAATTACCATAAGGTCCAATAATTCCTCTCTGACTTATCATACCCAAAAGAACTGAAAGAGAAGATTTGAACAGCTACTTACAACCCAATGTTCATAAAAGCATTATTTATAAAAGCCAAAAGGCAGAAACAATTAAAACGCCCACCAACAGATGAAAGGATAAACAAAATGGGGTATAACCATACAACGGGATATTACATAGCCTTAAAAAGGAATGAAATTCTGATATTTCCTACCACAAGAATAGGACCTTAAAATGTCACATTAAGTAAAATTAGACAAACAAAAAAGGGCAGATACTGCCTGATTCCACTTATATCAAATATCTACAACAGCAAACAACAGAGACAGAAAGGAAGGACGTTAGCAGTTTCTAGGGGCTGAAGAGGAGTGGGGAATTATTGCTTAATAATAATTAACCTGTTTGGGGTAGAGAAGGAATTTTAAAGCAGACAGTGGTGATGATTGCACAACTATATGAATGTAATTAATGTCACCGAGTAGTACTCAAATGCTCAAAATGACTAATTTTATAGACAGAGTAGCCATAAAGTTCTCATGCAATTTAAATAGTTGTTAACAGGAACTTTTTGGCCACCCTGTGTTTTGAACTGCAATAAAAAATTATAGAATTTTAAAACATATATACAGATGAGGAAGCTTAAGACATTCTGTGTGATCCTAGGCAAGTTTCAATCTGTCTAATTTTCAGTTTCTTCATCTGTGAAATAAGAATAATAAAATGAATGGCCAATGCATGGGATTCACAGTGGGACATCTGGCCAGAATTCATGAAAAAAATTCCATGTATTAATAAAACTACTTGATCAACTTATAATGGAACAAAGTAGAGATATACAATACTTCCTAAAAGAGATGGACTAGCTCTGAGGCCTGCCCAACTTGAAACTGTAGCCAGAATGAATATATTATCACCCCTAGGAAGAAATAAGCCAATCACAAACAACACTGAATACTATAGAAAACATAAAAGGCCAAACACCACCTGGGGAAAAAGTGAGAATCTTGGCCAGTGGCTGTCCACATATGTCTCACCCACAGCCAGGCTATTCCTACTGTAAGGAGGATGTTGCCTATTAACGTCAAGTGTTCTAATCCTATTCACAACAAGACCAACAAAATAAAAAATATTTTATTCCATATGAGGATATTTTCTGAACAATGGCATGATTACCTCATCTGGAAAAAAGCATGTATAAGAAGAACATGAAGTGAACTTTAATATAATGGTGCTACTTGTATGCTATTGGTATTTTTATTACCAAACAACTGTTAAAGGTTTGCACGCTGAGATAGGAAACACTCATCCACAGGAAGTGCATTGCAAGTATTAATTCACATACTACTCATCCCAACCCTATGGTATAGGGACAATTATCAACCCCATTTTACAGATAGGAAATAGAAGGGCAGAATTTTTTTTTTTTTTTTGAGACAGAGCCTCAAGCTGTCCCCCTGGGTAGAGTGCCATGGCATTACAGCTCACAGCAACCTCCAACTCCTGGGCTCAAGCGAGTCTCCTGCCTCTGCCTCCCAAGTAGCTGGGACCACAGGCGCCTGCCACAACGCCCGGCTATTTTTTGGTTGCAGCCGTCATTGTTGTTTGGCGGGTCCGGGCTGGGGATTCAAACCCACCACCTTAGGTGTACTAGGCTGGCGCCTTAGCCGGTTGAGCTATAGGCGCCGAGCCAGAAATTTTAAGGTCCTTGCCCATAGTCACACAGCTGGTAAGCGGTGGAGCCTGCAATTGCACTAAGGCTCTTAGCTACTATTTTTTACATAAGCCAAACTTCATACTCCTCAGTGTAAATCAGAGAAAGTTTTAATTGCTGGTACTATTAATATTAGAACAGTCCCCAAAATGTAAGCAATTAGGAATAAGGTCTGCTACTGACAGATGGGGCAGCAGGGGTGGTCGGGGAGGAAAGGTGGTGGTGGTGGGAAAAGAAACATACAGGTGGAGCAAGGGAATACCACCGACAGACTTGGCCCCAGTCTCTAAGTAGGACAGACAACACTGACAGGCCATATTTCATAATCAAAGAAGCAGCCTGAAAATCCAATCTAACTTGATTTTCTCCAAGTAAAAGCCAACAGATCACGGCATTTGCTACCAGCCACTCATTCACAGGGCAAATACTGGGAATGTCCACATTCCATTTGGAATTGAGTTTTATAATGCAGGATACTGGCACACAGGGGAACAATGTCAGAGCATCTTACCAAAGATGTTCGATGCCCCCATCCTCTTAAGCTATCACATCCAATAAGTATCTGGTATTAACATAATCAGCCCATGTGAATACACGAGGGAGGGCCACTGTAAACTACCCCCATGGTTAATTTCCCCCGTTACCTCAGAATCCACACAGGACAGATGCATCAGACTACATCTTCATTCATTACAAGTGAATTCATCACACTCCTCTGGTTCTGATTCCATTTTTAACAACATTCTATTTCATGACTTCCTGCCTAGATCTTTCTATAGGGCAAAAAATGTCCTTGCCATTTGAAATTCGAACAATCTAGTCCACTTAAAAGATGGTTCAAAGGCTTTTTTTTGTAAATTCAACTTCATATGTCAGCCTTACGAGTTAGTTAAGGGATCCACCCATGAGAGATGAATGCTTTTGGCAGCCTTTAAGACCGAGCCAGAACTTGGTCTAAGGTAGTGATGGCTGTCCTGTAAATCCCCAGTAAGTATTCCTACCCTACCCCTCTTCAGGTTCCACATGGTTTTCTTTTGTTTGTTTGTTTGTTTGTTTGTTTGTTTTTAATTGTTGGGGATTCACTGAGGGTATGCATGGTTTTCTTCCTTTTTTCTTTTTTTCCATAGAACTATCTATTGGGGTAGTTATAAAAATTCTACGAGATAAAGGCAATTGTGCTTATCAAATTTACCGGCATATAATAGATAAATGATTATTTCCCCCCTACCTTCACCTCTAGGCTCTATTAAACCAATTAAGTATTAGCAATCAGAAAACTTTACACCCATGCTTCATTAGAGTTTTTACATACTCAATAAGACTACACCAATCCTATTTGTTCTGGGGAAAACAATTTTTTTCCTACTTCTCAGAAACTAAAAACAGACTTCTCAGATACTAAAAATCAAGGATATATTGGCATGTGGCAAGTGGGAAGGGGATCCTAAAAAGCACCTGTCAAAAGCTAAAAGGAATAAAAAATATAATTGACAAAATTGGCAACATAAATAGAAAAACTATATAAATTACCCCAAAGTGAGAAAGACCATTAGTCTAATTCATTGAAAATCACATTAGAATGAAACAGATCCAAACTCTCTCAGCTGTCACCAGACTTACCAAAGTAGTTATCAGAAAACAAAGAGTGAATAGTATAAGGAACAGTAAAACTGAGCATTAATGTTTCAAAATGATCTTTGAGAGTGGAAAAATTGGTAGTAAAACCCATTTTGAGGTCGCATTCTTTTGCATTGCTATTATTATAAAATCATCCAACTTTTGCAAAACCATTCTCACATAAGCCAAATTAAAAATACAAAACAAACAACATAAGGAAAGTTCCATTTCCTGCAAGTCTACATTTTTTTTTCTGGCTGTGGCCGAAAGAATTAAAATTTTATGTTGCAATTACAGTTTTCTCCTTTCAGAGTACCCACACAGCTTTGCTGACAACACACAGCTGCCTTAATCTCCCACGCAGGTTAGTGTAGAGACGACACATGAAAAACCACATTTACCATCAGGATTAAAAAAAAAAAGAAAGATAAAAACAGTACATACCTCGTTCAAATTTTAACCGCTGATAGAGCTGAAACTGATCCACAGGTACCAAACAGGCAATCTGAAACCAGAGATTTTAGAAAGATGAGATTCCAGCTGTTATGGGCCCCTAAGTTACGGCTTTTAAGATCTCCCTTCCTGGTTTTACTTACATTCTCCCTGTGCCCATTGTTTGCAAACTTCTCTTTCTCTACACTGTTCATGCAGTGGCATATGCAGCAACTTTCCAATCATCCCCATTCCTCTCCCATGGCTAGGAATCACTGTTCAAGGCACCACTCACAAACTCATCAATCACCTTCCATTCTTCGATCAGTGACTAAGACTAGACAACCAAATTTTATTAGTTAGACTTCCAAATTATTCTTTGTCATCTAGGACAGATGCTCCTATTCACTCCACATTCAAGAATTTTTTTAAGATTATAATTCTAGCCTTGGAACCCTTAAAAACTAAGGTGATAGAATTATGAAATTAGGGTGGTGCCTGTGGCTCAAGGAGTAGGGCACTGGCCCCATACACCAAAGTGGTGGGTTCAAACCTGGCTCTGGCCAAAAACTACAAAAAAAAAAAAAAAAAGAATTATGAAATTATGAAACTTTTCATATGAAAAGTTTGATTATGAAAACTTCATTTGTCACCTAGGAAATAGTAACTTTTAAAAATATGAAAATAATTGCTTCTGACAAAAACCACTTTATAGAGCTCTCAGTTATCACATATTAATATGCAGATCCTGGTAAAAAAAGAATGTCTAAGATATTTCTTGTGGCTAGACTACCATTTCCATTTCAAATGGCAATATGAATCAAAGGTTTACTAGTACACAGTAATGATTCATATCTAACTGACATTTCAGATTAATCATTTTAAAATTACATTTCAAAGGTGATGCAGGAAAAATTAACTGCCCTTAAATTGGCATTTAAAAAATATTGATTCCAGGTGGTGCCTGTGGCTCAGTGGGTAGGGTGGCGGGTTCAAACCCAGTCCCAGCCAAAATGCAACAAAAAAATAGCCAGGCGTTGTGGCAGGAGCCTGCAGTCCCAGCTACTTGGGAGGCTGAAGCAAGAGAAGCCTGAGCCCAGGAGTTGGAGGTTGCTGTGAGCTGTGATGCCACAGCTCTCTACCGAGGGCAACAAAGTGAGACTCTGTCTCTAAAAAAAAAAATATTGATTCTACAGATGTCACAGGACATAAGTATACTGACATTGCTTAAAAGATTTATAACTGGCTCGGCGCCTGTGGCTCAAGAGGCTAAGGCGCCAGCCACATACACCTAAGGTGGCGGGTTCGCAGCCCGGGCCTGCCAAACAACAATGATGGCTGCAACCAAAAAATGGCTGGGCATTGTGGCGGGCACCTGTGGTCCCAGCTACTTGGAAGGCTGAGGCAGGAGACTCGCTTGAGCCCAGGAGTTGGAGGTTGCTGTGAGCGTGATGCCATGGCACTCTACCCAGGGGGATAGCTTGAGGCTCCGTCTCAAAAAAAAAAAAAAAAAAAAAGATTTATAACTGAGAAAAATCAAAGGATTTAATGTTAGCCTTCAGATTTTCAAAAGGTAATAGAGGACATAGCCTTAGCCTTGTTGATTTCAACTTTAAACTATTAATTTTTTGGTATAAGCTATATCTTGACAGGAGTTCTTACAACTAACAAAAGGAAATCTGCTTGAGAAAACTGGAGTTAGAAAATGATGCAGTTAAAATTAAATAACAAATAAAATACATTTAAAATGCATTCAAAATCTAATCCTCTGCCTTACAAAAATAATTTCATTTATTTATTTTGCAAATGGATCAAACTAAGTTAGCTAAAATGTGTGAAAGACCACAAAAAAAGCAAGTTTAGTCTTCTTCATTCCGAGCAAAGAATGGTTAAACATAAACTTAATTATAAGCACATTTTTCTCCAAATCTCCTTTCTCCAGTTGCAGAGAAAATGTGTTGCCTTTTCATCAGGTATAATCAAAGCTCCTTAGCAATCCTTGTACAAAAAAAAAATATTATGGACAATTTCATCTTGTATATATAACAATACTTTATTTATTATACTGAAAGCCTAGCTTTGTTCATCTGTTATAACACTACCCAGACATCTTTCATGAAAGATAAATGTGTCTCAAACAAAATTTGGGATTGGAGATATAAGGTATAGATAGATAAATTAACTGATGGGAAAATTTGAGGAACCAGGGTTGAATCCCTGACTTTGTCACTGACACACTGTGGGTGAAAGAAATAACCCAATGCTACTTCAAGGTCATATCATCCGGGCCCAAGAGACCACAGTGGATATGATGAATCTATTTTAACCACCTTTCCAAAAGCTCTTTAAGGTCTTTGATTCTATGTATCACACTCACCACCTTCTAAAATAGTTTGTAGGCTGATGAAGAATTTCTTTAAATCCATCAAAGTTAGCCCCTAACAATTTTGATGTTTTGATGACAAGTAACATATAACAGCTGTGTCAAATTCAGTGTATGGAAGACAAGGAAAACAGAAAATGTTTTAGACATAGATGAAATGCTAATAAGAAAATAGCAGAAATTAATGCAGTAACAAAAAGTTAACAACAGGAGACATGGATGTTTAACTTTAAATTAAAAAGATACATTTCATTACAGTATACATTACCATCAGCAGGGAAGATAGGGTCTCTCATTTTTTATCTTTCACTCTACTTTGGATATCCTATTTATTACAAATCAAATGTCTACATGGAATTAAGACTTTATAAGGTAAATCAATTTTTCTATTGAAATTTGTGATCACAAAAAGTTAATTCCATCACTTCTCATTTCTATTTGATCCTTTGGAATAAAAATCATCTCCAGAACACACCATTCTCTTCCCCAGCCCCCAGCATTTAGGCTTGCATCTTCTTCACATACTTGTAGACAATGACCACCAGTAAGGAAAGGGTTGAAAGCCTGAGGCATACAATTAGGAAGGGCACATAGAAGCTACACTCAAGGAACTTAAATTATTCTGAAAGCAACAAATACATAGCAAATCCCCCAAAGATCTACTCCACCTGTTATCTGTTGAATTTTGCAGACTAGAGTGAATTTTCTGAAATACATTTTTAGTTTATGATGAGAGAAAATTGGACCTGGTTAAAAGAATAACAAATGATCTAAAGTATTAAATTCCTGGTTCTATTGGCATTTGGAATTAACACACAATTGCTTGATGCCTCTGTTTCTACCATTATAAAACTGAAATAATTGTGTTACAATGATTATTGGAAGACCCAGTCAAGTTGCATGTAAAAGAGCTACAACCAATTTTTGGAGGATACTCACAAGTACTCCAAAATTGGTTTGCTAGACTAACAGTCCTAGAGAATAATAAAAGAATACAAAGGGGAATCTTGTGGTATATATTTATCCTCTTTTTTTGCCAAAAAAGGCATTCTAAATCACATCAGAACATATTAAAAAATAAAGTTGCCAAATTTGCATAGAGATTTTCTAAATGCCATTCCCCCAACTTCCTCTAATGATAACTAACACCTGTATAACCATAGTCAGTACAGAAAAAAATGAAACGTGCACTGATACAATCAAATTATCTTCAGGCCTTTTTCAAACTTTGCAAATTATCCCATTAAGGCCCTTTTGTCTATCCAGATCCAGTTCAGGCTATCATCTTGCATCTTACTTTGGTGTTTTCTAGGTCTTCCAACCTGTGCCAGCTCCTCAGTTTACCTTTCATGACCTTGATGTGTTTGAAGAGCCCATACTGGTACAGTGTTCCCCAACTGAATTTTTCCAATGCTTTCTCATTAGATTCAGGTTATGTTTTGGCAAGGTCACAGACATGACCTAGGGGCCGTCAGGAGCTGCACAAGGATAATGTGTCTCATTACTGGGGATGTTAACTTTTTAACCTGGTTAAGGTAGCATCTACCAGGTTTCTCCAGCCTTTGTGATCAATAAATATCTTGGAGGAAGATACCTTGAGACTATGCAAAGTCCCGTTTCTCATCACACCTTTGCCCACTAGTTTTTTCATCTCTTGATAATTCTTCCCCCAAATAATTATTACTGTAGAATGTGCTTAATAATTACTTTCTATTTTCCATGATTCATTCTGTGTTTGGTGATTCACATTCTAGTAAGAAAAGCTGTCCCTCTTCCCCTATTTGTTTATTCCATTTTCTAATTTAGCTCAGCATGGACTGATTTTTTAATTCAGTGGGTTCTAATCTATTACTAACCAAATCCATATTCAAGCAGAAGCAAAGGTCTCTAAGTGTCTTCTCAACTCTTGAGACCACTTCCCTCAGCACTACTAAAAAGTCTTTAACTTGATTTAAAGTTATTTTTTGATACCTCTTTTCTGAAATTTATGCCAGTTTGTCCATTAAACAGAAATTTCTCTCTCCTCCAATCTAAACACAAAAGACTGCCTTTCCTTATCATCATCATTTGAGAAACTTTCCAGAAAGAAAAAACTTTAATTCAAAGAGACTATAAATTCAGTTTCATTTTAATAGAATAAGATCAATAATATAAGAAAAATAACAATAAAAAGCTACTAATGGCCGATAGTCACTATTTTGTTTGGTTTTGTTTCTGATGAAAATGAACCTGAGGATCTTTATTCCATACTCAGTTCTGCTGAATGTCCTTGCTTTTCCCTTCCACCTACAGCACAGCATAATTAGGAAAATCAGAGTCCACCTAGTGTAGCAGTGTGGTAACCACTACACATGCAGCAGTGGGGTAACCACCAGACAGAATACTTAACTGGATGTCTCTAATATCCATAATGGAGAAGAAACAAAAAGAGATGCACACCCTTGATTAGCGGTGTTAACCATAACACTTGTATACATTTATACAAGCATCACCGGCCAGCGGCATGCGGTGGCTCACACCTGTAATCCTAGCACTCTGGGAAGCCAAGTCAGGTAGACTGCTTGAGCTCAGGAGTTTGAGACCAGCCTGAGCAAGAGTGAGACCCCATCTCTACTAAAGGTAGAAAAACTAGCCAAGCATTGTACCAGGTACCTGTAGTCTCAGCTACTTGGGGGGCTGAGGCAAGAGGA